AGCGGAGTAGCGGGGGAGAGTCGGGATCGGGGGTCTAAGGAGGGGGAGTCGAGGAATCGGGGGTGAGGGATTGGAGTTGGGGGGGAGGGAGGGAGTTGGGGGGTGGGGGTTGCGCGGTGGGAGAAGGGGGGGGAACTGGGTGGGAAGCAATGGGAGAGATTGGGAGATGGCAGCGGAACCTGGGGGGAAAAGAGGGGGGAAAGAGGGGAGCCAGAGGGGGAAGGAGGCGCTGACGTGTCAGGAAGTCGGCCGTCCACGTGTCAATGATCCTTCCGCAGGTTCACCTGTGGAAACCTTGTTATGGCTTCTCCTTCCTCCACTGATAAGGTTCGATGAACCTCTCACAGCGCGGCTGCTACCCGCTGAAATGGCGGCTCTGCCAACACTTCACGGGCCATTCAATCTGTAGGAGCGACGGGCGAAGGACAAGCCACGGTACACGTGGTAGCAGGTCGGCGTCGGCGGCGGGTAGGATGACCGCAGCATCTGGAGYAGCGCCGTCGTGGGGGTTGCCGAGGAGAAAGGCGCCAGCTTGGATGAAGAACGTACCTGGTCGCGTTGGCGGACCATGTGCAGCTGCAAAAACGAGCTTGGAGATAGCTATCCGTGATGGCGGGATAGAGAGAGAGGGAGGGAGGGAGGGAGCAGAGGTTCAAAACCTGCTCCGATACCAATGTGACGCACGTGCGGATGGCACGTGCCGAGATGGTGAGAGAGAGAGAGAGAGAGAGAGGAGATGGACACACACGAGAAGCAGCAGCTGAGTGAAGGTCCAGTCCGGCTCTATCAAAGAATGAACCACCGAATGAATGAACAACTGAATGAGTGACCAACCCGGCCTGGGCCTAGGCCGGAAAGATATAGCGGCCTTGGTCCAGGCCGGAGTAACCCGGCACCGGACCGGGGTCAGGCCGACGGCCTGAAACAGGTCCGGCCTCACTGCCGGGCCGGAAGGGTACCGCTACATTGGTGGTGGCGAGAGCAAGCTGTCATTGACATTGGTTTTCAGTGTTACGATTCTTCATTGGTGTTATATTGGTGCATTTCTGCTTTCTGGACACTGTGATACTATCTGGCCTTCAATGTGATTGTGCATTCTGGACATTGTCATCTCGCTATTGCTCATTTTCCTTGCAAGATTTTTGCGAGGACCATATTGTCCCCCTCTAGCAACCACCCGGGGGTCAGTTGAAAAAAAAAAAAAAAGAAGGTTTTACCAGGGCTATATCGCCCTGTTTTCAGAAAACAAAAAACAGAAAAAAGATTGTAAATACCGTGACAGGGACAGAACCTGCCTTGTGGCTAAATGGCACAAGCAAATGCCAAGCATGTGATCGTTGACAGACAGAGCGTGGGTCATATCGTGATAGTATCGTATTCCTACGGAATAACCCACTTCAGACGGGGAAAAAAAAGAAAAAACTTGAAAAACATTGAAAACAGTAAATAGTAAATAGTAAATTCTAAATACCAGGGCCCATGCCCCACTTGTGGAGGTTTGGTTTTGGTTTGGGATCGTGCGACATCCCAGATGCAAACAAAAATGAGGCAGCTCTTTATCTTGAGGCCGTTAGATCATGGGCTGTCCGAATGGATCAGCTATATCTATGATGAAACGGAAACGCGAATGAAAAGAAAACTGCAACAGAGTGGACGTGACGACTGACGAACCAACCACAGTGTTCTTTCAGATTACATGGCCCACCTACATGGATGCATAGATGACAATGAAGCGACCTTGCCCTGAGAGTCCAGCATCTTTTTTCTTTTTTTCTTTGGGAAAACTCCGAAAAAGCAAGGAAGTCCATTATCATGAGAAACCATGAGGCCTGGAATTCCTTACAAACAACCCGGAAACAAAATTGTCACTGGCACTGGGACCATTACCCAGTTTCGGTTGTGGGCCTTACCCCAATGACACTGAAAGCCCACCATCTCAGTTCCCGTTGAGCTAGGGTATGTGAGAGAGGGTCTATATCTGCTCATCCAGTCATCAGCCAGTTCGTCAGGAATCAGATCTCCTCTAGTGTTCTTTTTCTTTCTTTCTTTTTTTTTGTACTTCTCACTGTCTCAGCAGGCACCTGAGATATAATGCTTTGGTTACGGGTGTGGCAAAGCAGTCCTGGCCAGCAGCAGGGGTGACGTGCCATTTGCACGGATTAAGAGATACTGACCGTCGACCTGGATTATCTATGACCAGTATCTACCAGTACCTTTCCCATGTATCGGCCACGGGCAAAAAAGAGAGGCGGCCCGAAACGGAAAGCGGGCCGCCGATGAAATTTATCAATGGTGGTCTGATCCCGTTTGGCGTCCGAATATACCAGCGCGTATTTGATTCTCAAATGGGGAAAGGTACTGGTGGTTTAATCGATGCAAATGGGGACGTGTTCCAGGCGACGTTCCCTGCCAACGGAAAGGATTTAAAGGAGCCATCAACAGTGCTAGACCTCAATTCCGAAGATTATTCTAGTCGTCTTCATGATCGTGTCGATCGCAATGATGTTTTCTTGTTAAAGGGGAAAAAAAAAACAAAAAACGTATTGAAAGATATCTGTTAATAGTCTTCAATGAATCCACCACGCTGCAGGTGGTGAAATTTCGAATTCAACCACTACTTCAGTAAAATCATTTTCTGTCATCTCACAGCTGAGGTTGCTACAATTTGAACGGCGAATGCATGTGAGGGCACATGTCAGGTGCCAGGCCGTCTGTGTGGAAAGTTGGAAACCCCCTTCAGCCCGCACTAGACTTGTTCGATTGAGTTCTGAACGTAATTGTGGTCAGATACATCCTGGTCAGACTGTAATTCTGGTCAGACGCATCCAGGAAAGTGCTAGTTTGAGTATGCCATCAGGGATGTATCTAAGGCAGGCAACCTTTCAGCTAGGTATTTGCTTGCCTTATTTTCCTTTTCCCTTTTTCTTTTCTGTGTAAGTGTGTGTGTGTGCTTGTGTGTGTGCGTGGGTGTGTGTGTGTGTGTGTTTGTCTCAAATCTAGCATGTCATTTTACTTTATTGGACTCCACTTGCCCTCGACCCTGCACCCCTCCTTGCTTCCCCCCTCCAACTTGCGCCCCCCCCCCTCTGGTTGCTGGAATGCCAACCAAGATGGTACTTTTAGGGTCATCATGATAGTGATTGCAAATGTTGATTTTTGTTCCTTTCTTTTCTTTTTGGGTGTGATTGTCATGTCCCCTGGTGATGTGCTCATTGGGAGGGTCTTGACGAGTCACCATGGCCATTGAAGTCTTACATGCAGAAGGCCTCAGACAGCAGGTCGCATGGGCAGTGTTTGTGGCCTTTGGCCTCAGCAAAAACAAATTGTGTTTTGTGAACTTTTGTCAAAGCATAACTGAAAAGAAAAAAAAAAGTATGCACGTGCCCACTGCCATGTGCCGTGGTCGACCCAACAGCAGCACATTAATATATACACAAGGTGTAAACGCCAAGTACGGTGGCATCACAAAGGCAGTGCATCTTCCCCCACCGGCATTGTGACATTGCTCAACCGTCCAAACCAACGAACAGGTACCGTCCTCGGCGGTTGTTTTATAAATCTCTGTCTGTTCGACTTGCAAAAGGGTGCGTGCGCGTCCTGCTTTTTCCATGCAAGAATGATAAAGAGAGAACTGTTATTGAAGATCCCGTGCCCTTTTCTTTTCAATTTTATGTTCTTCGAATGCACAAAATTGGAAGTATGTAAAAGTGGGCAGAGAAAAAAAAAAAAGGGTTGCCTTCGCGACATCTGGCCACTGATGAGTGCTGGATGGTGACTGGCTGAAACGCGGCACAGGGTCGCTTTCTCCAGCACTAGCATGTGGTTTTCACAAATTCCGGCAACTTTCATGCTAGTAAGAGATGGGATATTTTACCGTTCACATCCGGGACTTCCTGTGTCTGACTCATACCTCTGTGTGACTCTGCTCTGTATTTGTTCGCCCTGTCTTCTCGTTCATATCCCATCTCCTTGCTCCTTCTGCTGCCTATTGCAGGAGTGCTGTGTAAAAAAGATCTATCGGCTACTGAAATTCTTTGAGCTATCAGTGTGGGTTCAACAATATCCCAACAATAAACTCCAGTGGGTATAGCTCTGTTGATACACCCATGAGCAGTTGAATTACAGACCTGAGTCTGAATCCAGATGCAACCAGATCATCCAGATGAAGGGAATGAAATACTTCTGAATTACCTGGGACTGGCCAGCTCAATGATGATACCTCAAGGCCGTCACCCTTTCTTTTTTCTTTTTTAATATTTTATTATTATTATTATTATTATTATTATTATTATTATTATTATTATTGCAAGGAAAATAAGCAACAGCGAGATGACAAATTCCAGATTACTGAAAACCAATGTCAAGGAGAGCTTCTCTCTCCACCACAACACAAGAGTCCAGTCCCTTCACACTCCTACTTGGCGCTCAGCGCCCAGCCTACTCCTACACAGCTATGATCAGCCTACTAATAGACAATGCAACTGTTGACATCAGCGGCAATCCGAAGTACTTGAAGATGTCGCCCAAATGCAGACCACCGCCAATACAAGGTATGTGCCCTCACATCATCATCATCATCATCCTTCRCCCTTCCCTGACTTTACACCCACGCATGTCCTCCCTTACACCCGAAGACCACCCCTGCGCCTCACTGTACATCCAAGCCCAGCCCGCTATGAAGGCTGGCTATGGCGCTGCCCTCAGCAGCGCCCTGCTTCACCACACGACCGCACGTGCGCAGCCTCTTGCTCCCAATGCCAGCAGCCAGCCCGAGAGCTATCGCTCCAGCAGCGCTGCCGCCAGCCAGCAAGTGACCGAATGAGGCTGCCTGGGGAGAGCTCTTTCCTTTATGGAAAGAGCTGGCCTGCTCGCGCAGCCTGGCTGCACTGGCCTGGGCCCAGAAGCTTCCGGAAGGCCCCAGGATGCTGCCTTTGCCCTGCAGCTACGGGGCCTCGTTCGGTTGGGCCTCCCAACTGTCAGTGTATGAGGCTGTGATTCACGCCCAAGGCCTGCATTCTTTGGAAAGGCCCGGTAGGCCGTGGAAATGTCTTTGTTGCTCGGCCTGTGTTTCTCTTAACCAACTGGCGCGTTGCTTCTGCCTGTACCCCAGATATGAAATTGACAGTCAAAGGCCTCTTGTGAAATGTTAGGCCTGCCTTCACTTAGGGCGGGCACCACTGTAACCGGGGCCCCTTAGGCCTGCCGAGGATGCAGATCCTCGCATTCCCTCCTCCTTTACTTCGTTAGTCCTCTGAGAAGTCTCTTATTTTGCACGCATCTTCCCTTTCAGTTCTCTTTCATAGCCTGCAATCACTTGAGGTGCTGTTCTCAGGAGTTCTTCTCGTGTGAACCAGCGATCTTCCTTGGGATCGAGATGATGTCTGAAGCTCATACGATACTGCATTCTCGGTTTAGGAGGGCGCCCTCTGCCTGATGGTCGAGGAACAGGCATTACTCGATGCTCCACGATCTGGTCGATGTCCACCTCGCCATCCATGGTTGGGGGCAGCATTGATCTCCTCGAGGGAAACTGGTCAGTAGCAGCGAAAGGTGCCAACTTAGAGGCATGGAACACAGGGTAAGTCTGTAAGTGTGCAGGAATATGAATCACGTATGAAGGCCCATCCGGTTGATCTCCTACAATGTCCAAGATCTCCCAAGGCCCAAAATACTGTGGCATCAGTTTTCTTGATATCCCCATCTCCTGACCTCGTTCAGATGACTTTACCCAGACATTGGAACAGTTCTTACGGTCCATCTACATCAGGTGGCATGACCCGCAAGGGGGCTCAAAAGGCCACCGATGCTATCAATAGTCTTTGTGCCAGAAGGTACAAAAATGTTAGAGAGCTGACAGACACCGTAGAACGTCTGCTTGTGGTTCCTTGCGTGCGCTATGGATTACCTTAGATGTCTGCCTTTAGAGGTGAGGACAAAGCTGGTAGATGAGGCTTATGTCGATCAGCATAACCTCGCCTCTTTTAGCAAGAAAGCCTTAGACATAGAGGCTAAGTTGGGGTCTGCGCATCAGAGTCAGGGCGATGGTAGGAAGAAGAGACTACCCCAGGATTGGAAAAAGAAAGGTCAACTAATGTTCGTTGACCATGATGGTCAGACGACAGAAATTGATGACTTCCCAGACTTTGGGGAGGAGACAGAGCATGATGTTGGCTCTTCATTTCAGGCCGGCGATGCAGTTTTCGCCTTCCCTTTTTCTCGGGAGTTGTTATTGCTTCGCACCTGGACAACGGCCACCTGATCTCCCTCACGTGATGCTTGGGTGGCTGCCGGGTCTTCCACAATGTTGCCCGGTTGGACTGCAGCGACATGATGTGGACGTGGACCAAAATTTCCTTTCTCCACATAGGTTGGCTGCCATGCTGTCTTCTCGTGTGCAGCCGCCCTGTTGGTCTTGATGATCTCCCTTGCCTTGTCGATGATTTCGGCGAAGGTCATGTATTGCTCGCGATCACCAAGTGTGAGGCTCAAGGCGGCACATGACCGGTTGTGAAATTCCCGGCGCAGATGCAAAAATGGCAACTCGAGATCGGGCGTTACCACGATCTTTTGACATTCTGTGAGCCAGTCACGTGTCGGTGTGTTGCCTTGGGTAATGGCGAAGAGGCGGTTGATGGCGAGCGTCGGGGCGTCGTCCACGATGAATTGCTTCTTCCATAGCCTCGTCAACTATTCGCAAGAGATCTTCTTGTGTAGATCGGCGACCTGGACACCGTGGATGGTTGCTAGGTGGCAGAGCCAGATCAGGTGTTACATGCAGCGCGTGCACACACGGGCCATTTGGCAGGCCCGACGACCATTTTGCAGGCCCGACGGTGTTCAGGCCAAAAGCCTGAACTTCAGGCCGAAAGCCTGAATTTCAGGCCGAAAGCCTAATCCAGGGCTTACAGGCCCCCTGTCGGTTCAGGCCAAAAGCCTGAAGTCCAGGGCCTACCCTTGGTCGTTTCAGACTAAAAATGGCAACAGCCTTTTTAGCCTGATTGGGCGATTATCCCACCCCCCCCTCCCCATCTATGTTGTTGCCATCTCTCGCCTTGCCGTTTCTGGTTGTCTCCGGGTACCCCTTGTGACGACATTGGTAAGTTGCCACGTCAGCAGGCCACGTCAGCAGACCACGTCAGCAAACCACGTCAGCAGGACACGTCAGCAGGCTACGTAAGTACGTCAGCAGACCACCTCAGCAGGCTACGTCAGCAGGACACGTCAGCATTGCCACGTTAGCAGCAAGGGATACCACATCATCAGGCACCGGTCTGGTCTATGCTGTTGCGTTCACAGACAACAGTCATGGACCAGAAGGCCGGGGAAACAGACGAGGCCTATCAGACCCGCATGTTAGCGTGGAGTACCGAGACAAAGAAGCGGGCAGATGACGCTGCCGCAGCAGCCAAGAAAAGGGCAGAGGATGCCGAGCAGGCACGTCTGCTGGCCGTACAACAACAACCCCCAGCACGAGAGGCAGCAGCAAGGGCTGCCGATGAAGAAAGGACACAGCGTCSTGAGAAGATATTCACCGGAGAGCGGGCATTACTTACCATGGCAGCAGARTGGCRAAGCGAGGCCGAGAATAGCCAGTTGGAGGATAGCGCAAACAAGATAGCGCTCCTCCTCTCGCATCTCACGGATCTCCTGGCAACCTGCATTACACACCAGGCGGAGATCCTTGCTCTCGACAACTCGGTAGCTCATCTCCAAGACCGCCTTCAGCGGGTGGAGCAGCGACCAGTCGCCGCCGCCGATGCAGGCTCTTCCAACACTGCCGACCGCCTCACCGCGTTGGAGATGCGCGTCGGCTCCCTCCAGGATGGCGCACAGTTACAGCAGACCGCGACGCAACAATTGCAGCAGCGGATCTGCACTACAGCCACCACCTCGAGTCCGGAGCCGCGCGAGACAGCTCCTAAGTTCGATGGGCAGGAGATCTTTCACGACTCAATCAAGACAGATCCAATTCCATGGTTTCACAAGTTCGAGCTCACGCTGCAGCTCCACAACGTCAAGGAACACAAGCAACACGCATACTTGTACTCTCGCTCAGGGGGCCCGTGTCAGGCTTGGTTGGACAACCTTTTGTCCAAGTACGGAGTGGTAGCTAACCACTTGCACACCAAGATCACCTGGGATGATCTGAAGGCGGCGTGGCACAAGCGATTCCAGGTGGAGCCGCCAGAGATCAAAGCCATGGACAAGCTCATGGTCTTCGAACAAGGCACGCTGCCGAGTACAGACTAAATCGCCGAGTACCAACGCTTGACGTCGGTCCCAAACATCCAGATGGGCTTCAAGGCCATCCGCCACTACTTCATCTCAAGGTCATGTCCGGCATTGAGCAATGCCCTGACGAATGTCGAGGACACCTTGACGACGACGACGGAATTATTTGACAAGGCTGCGCAGATCATTATCACGAACAAGGAGGCCAAGAACCTCCGTTCATCTGCGTCAGGCCCGAGCAGGGACCAGCATCGGTCAAGAGTGGCCGTAGTCGCAGCGGCAGCGCCGTTAGACCAAACCAGCGAGGCTGTGTCTGCCAGTGAAGGAGACAGATTCGCAGCCGCCCGGGAAGGTGGCCGCGCCGACAGAGGCCGAGGGCGCGGCAAGCCGAAGACACACACCGTTTCTAGCCCCGGGCCCGGTGCAGCAGCTCAGACAGGCCCATGGACCCCGTATGGCATTTCCGAGTCCGCATACAAGGCGCGCGAGAGATTCCACTATTGCCTTTGGTGCAACAGCGATCTTCATCAGACGCAGGTTTGCCCATTGAAAGGCAAGGGCAGAAAGGGAAACTGAGCACCGCCGAGAGTGACGCGACGACACTCTCGACGCCATCAGAACTGGTCTCTTCGCGAGTGACCAGCCTTCATTCCGAGGCGCACGCGGAAGTCGACAGTCCTCCACTTCTATTTTCTTTTGAGGACTATGCTGCCCGGCTCGTTCCAACGCTGGGTACTCAAGCTCAAGGACAAGGAGTGTGTGCGGTTTCTTCTCCGTCCGGCAACAGCGACATATCGTCTTTAAGTGGTTCGTCACAGGATTCGGCGCGCGAGTTCAAGATAGAGGTTTTGGACCCGCTCACGTCTTGAGGACTTTGCATGGCTTCCTCTCCCGACCACAGGCTGTTTGTCTGGACCTCAATGCGCAGTACTTAGCGCTCATCTCCACACTTACCTTTCCTTCTATGCACCACCAACTTCGCCGACGGATGACGAAGTCGCGGTGGGGGACATCCTCGCGTACGTTACCAAGGTGGCCCGCGAGTTTCGCACGCAGCGGTACGATAACAACAATGCACCGTTCATGTATGTCCGCATCCAGGTTGGGCAAGCATCTTGCAGCGCTTTGCTGGATAGCGGCGCGACTCGCAACTTCATGAGCCAGTCTTTTATGCAAAGAGCAGGCCTTGGCGCACAAGTTCGGAGAAAGGCAAACCTGACTGCGATCAAGTTGGCGGATGGAAAGACGCAGCAACTACTCGACCATTACATCGAGGCCGTACCGGTCTATTTCGCACCTCATGCATGCGAACCGGTGACATTCGATATTCTCGACACGGACTTCGGCATCATTCTGGGAATGACTTGGCTTGCAAGTGCGGATCACATGGTCAACTTCCATCGGCGGTCTCTTAGCGTTTGCGACGCCTTCGGCGCAGAAGTGGCGTGTACTATTCCTCTACCGCACCCTTCGATCCGGTGCCGAGTGGTGACGGCCTAATCGTTCCGGGCGACTTGCGCTTACGAGCAGCCTGAGGAGTTCGGCCTATGTTTCCTACGGACCGTCGCGGTAGCCGACTCTTCACCCACGGACTTGTCTTCGGACCCCCGTGTGGTGCGGTTGCTGGACGAGTTCGCCGACATCTTCGAGTCACCTACCGGTGTGGTGCCGGGTCAGCCGATCTCTCACGAGATCATTCTTGAGGCCAGTGTCGTGCCGCCGAAAGGTTGCATTTATCGGATGAGCGAGGAGGAGCTTGAGGTACTCCGCGCACAACTCGATGATTTGTTGGCCAAGGGCTGGATCCGCCCGAGTAGCTCCCTATATGGAGCACGAGTTCTCTTCGTCAGGAAGAAGAACAAGGATCTACGATTGTGCATCGACTACCGCAAGCTCAACGGGCAAACCGTCAAGAATGCGGGGCCTCTTCCTCGCATCGACGATCTTCTCGAGCGGCTGGGCGGTGGGAAGTATTTTTCCAAGCTTGATTTGAAATCAGGATATCATCAAATCTCGATTCAACCGAATGATCGCTACAAAACCGCATTCAAGACGCGGTACAGGCATTTTGAGTGGGTGGTCATGCCTTTTGGCCTCACCAACGCCACAGCGACATTCCAGGCGGCGATGACCAATGAGTTCCATGCAATGCTGGACCGGTTCGTGCTGGTCTACTTAGACGATATTCTGGTTTACAGTCGGACATTGGAGGATCATTTTGGACATCTTCGACGAGTGTTGGTGAGGCTCCGCCGTGCCAAATACAAGGCCAACCGCGACAAGTGCGAATTTGTCCGGCAAGAGCTGGAATACTTGGGCCATATTGTCACACCGGAGGGCATCAGTCCGCTATCGGACAAGATGCAGGCCATCCAAGAGTGGCCGGAGCCTCGGAACGTCACGGATGTTCGCTCGCTCCTTGGTCTTACCAGCTACTATCAGCGCTTCATCAAAGGCTACTCCAAGATCGCGGCCCACTTGAACAACCTTCAGTGCGAGGATCAACCGTTTGACTTTGGAGAGGAGGCGTGGGGATCATTCCTCGCTCTCAAAGCTGCGCTATTGTCTGCGGAGGTCTTGCGGATATACGACCCGCTCGCGCCTACGTGTGTCACTACGGATGCGTCAGGCTATGGCATTGGTGCAGTCCTCGAGCAACATGATGGTGTGGACTGGCACCCAGTCGAGTACTTCAGCGAGAAAGTGCCACTCGTGCATTCCATTCACGATGCACGCAAGAAGGAGCTCCTTGCCTTCGTCCACACGCTCAAGCGGTGGCGGCACTTCCTCCTTGGTCGAAGCCAATTTCGCTGGGTAACGGACAACAATCCGTTGGTCTTCTACAAGACCCAAGACACCGTCAACAGCACGATCGCGCGATTGATGGCTTTCATTGACCAGTTCGACTTCTTTCCCGATCACATTCCCAGGAAGTCGAACCGTTTTGCGGATGCTCTCTCACGGCGTCCGGATCATTGCACCGCAGTCTACTCGACCTTCGAGATTGACGACGACCTACGGAACAGCTTCATCCGCGGCTACCAAGCCGAGCCCGATTTTCGCGACAAGTACGCGAATTGCTCCTCTCCTAATCCTGCTCCTTCTCACTATCGGATCCAAGAGGGGTACTTGTTTGTCCACACGCGGGGAAAGGACCTTCTTTGCGTACCGAGTGATCCTCACTTGCGTACACGGCTTCTTGGCGAGTTCCGCGACACTCCCGCCACTGGACATTTTGGAGTCAATCGCACTATTGGCCGACTTCGCCAGCGATTTTGGTGGCCCTGCCTTCTCGGCGATGTCACGCGCTATTGCAAGTCATCCGAGGTTTGCCGACGCTGCAAATCTCGCAACCATCGTCCGTATGGCGAGTTACGACCATTGCGAGTCCCGTTGAGGCGAAGGGAAGCGATTGCCATGGACATTACCGTCCCGTTCCCCAAGCACAAGACCGAAGTGGATGGGATTCTCACGGTGGTCGACCGACTCACCAAGTTCGCCATGTTTTTGCCTTGTCGCTATCATGCCAAGGCACCGGAGTTGGCCGAGGTTCTGTACGCCGGTTGGATTCGCACCAAGGGTTACCCCAAGGAGATYRTCTGCGACCGCGACACTCGGTTCAYGTCCGATTTYTGGTTGGCGCTCATCAAGCGATGGGGCTCATCTCTCAAGCCCAGTTCAGCTCGCCACCCTCAGACCGATGGCCAGACGGAGAGGGCGCATCAGACCGCACAAGTTCTCCTTTGCACTCTCATCCGCCCCGACCAGAAAGACTGGGTTGAGCGACTGCCGGATGTTGAGTTGGCCTACAACTCTTCCATTTATCCGGCTATTGGGATATCGCCCTTCGAGTTCGAGCACGGCTCGCCGGTCACGTCACCGTTGGACACGATTACTCCACGCATGGCCGGGAGCGACGACCATCTTCTTTTCTTGCGTCAGATGCAAGAGCTTCTTGTCAAGGCACGCGACAAGAGGGCTAAAGACGCAGCAGCGCATGAGCCAGCAGGAAAATCGCCAGCGTCTTCCTTGTCCATTCCGCGCCGGGGACCTCGTCTGGGTTTCAGCAGCGGAATTCAGCCTTGAACAAGACATCTCTCGCAAGCTCCTCCCGAAATGGATTGGGCCTTGGCCGATCATAGAGCCCGCTGGGGACGCACCCGAAGGACCCTCCTTCACGATTCAGGTGCCTAGCCACTTGCCTGTCTACCCAGTCTTTCATTGCTCCAAAATGGCTCTCTACACGCCAACGGATCATGACGACTTTTTCGGGAGACGGACGCAAGACCCACCTTCTATGGATGGTTTTCAGGAGGTCGGCGACATCATCTMCCAGCGACGYTTTGGCAACAAGCCAACTGAGTATTTGGTGCATTTTGCCTACTGCACACATCGAGCTGACCGTTGGTTAACCCGTGCGGAACTGCAAGCAACAGCTCCAGACGTTCTCGCACGCTACGAACGCAAGATGCAAGGCAAGCCGGTTTCTTCGGCTCCACGCCGCGCCCGCGTCCAGGTTCCACCTTCAGATCGACGACTTTGACCTCGCCCCGGCTTGACTTGGGGTGTTACATGCAGCGCGTGCACACACGGGCCATTTGGCAGGCCCGGCGGCCATTTTGCAGGCCCGACGGGGTTCAGGCCAAAAGCCTGAACTTCAGGCCGAAAGCCTGAATTTCAGGCCGAAAGCTTGAAATCCAGGGCTTACAGCCTCCCTGTCGGTTCAGGCCAAAAGCCTGAAGTCCAGGGCCTACCCCTAGTCGTTTCAAACTAAAAATGGCAACAACCTTTTTAGCCTGAAACAAAGGGCCATTTACGGTCGTTCATTAGAACGACCGGCCCTGAAACTCAGGCACTGAACCAGGGTTTCGGGAACAGACTATTAATAGTCTGTTTCCCACGCCAGCCTCAAGCAGGCTGCTGCACGCCAGCCCCTGGCACATTTCGGCATTGGCAAGAGCTGCCTCCTCGGCATGACTGGCCTCCAGCAGTCAGGAGGCAGGCCGAGGTAGTACATAGGACTTCCCAGGCACTTCCGAGGTAGGCAGTTCGGCAGTTGTAGTCTTCAGGAATCGGGAGCAGCACTCTGGAGGGAGCGCTGCGTTGTAGTAGAGTAGCGTTAGCTAGTAGTCTTCAGCGCTGGGCGCAGTAGGTAGCTGTAGTCTTCGGCGTTGGGCGCCATAGCTAGGTAGTGGTAGAGATGATGGGCGGAGGCTAGGGATCACTTACCTGCAGCGCCGTTGCTCCAGCTTCGTCTTCGAGGTACCTGCAGCACAGCGCCAACATC